TATAGTGGTCCGGTAAACTCTGTTACCTGTTAGCCCCATGAACACCATTAAAAATACAAAGGTTTTTTTTTTCTTAGCTTTTTCATCAAGTTCTGTGAGCTATGGCTTCTTCAAAGGGTGAATCACGTTACAGAGACACAATTAAAAAGCCACAAAGGAAAGATTTGCTGTTATTCAGATACRAGGAGAACAAAGGCTAAATGTATGTCGAGTTGGACTCAGTCACACACATTGAAAATTATTTGATTTACAAAAAAAGTGCGGTCTCTATGGATAAACTACGTTTCTTAAAGCCTGTGGACACTTTCAACCAAAGCAGTTCTGATCAAAGGCAAGTAAACAGTTGTTTTGTCCATTGATGTAACCAATATATTTGTTTTTAGATGTAATTCTATGTTGGTCTTTATTTCTAGTCTCAGTTCAAGTCCGCATTCTGACTGATTCACAGACTGTTRGGATAATTTCTGTTATTTTTATAAACATTTGAAATTGCCCTTAGTGACTGGAGCAGATCCATGCAGTGGTGTGTGTCCTCTGTTTATTATCCAGCCACACTTTAAAAAGAATAATAATTAGCCGGCCACGCTTGTTGACGTTCAACGCTAAGTAGCAAAGTTAGCTCTGCTTTCAATCCTCAGGATGTAACTTTGCTTTAATCTTTTTTTACAACCCTTGAACCCAATAACATTCAACCATCATGGTTCTCACTCATGCAGAGAGTGGAAAGCTCAAACATGAAACTTATATTCTACAGTATATTTTAAATCGTTGGGAAAGCTGKTTTCTGTTTTTTCCACTATTAAAATGGCGTCAGCAGTCACGATGTAGGAAGTGTGACGTTACGTGGGAACGAGTTTTGAAAGAGAAGGAAAAAATAATATCGAATTAATGTTCAGATAGATGGTAGGGATTGAACCCAAAATGCAAGCAGACACGAGGGCTTGTAAATAAAAATAAAAACTGGTTTATTGAAAAGGAGAAAAAAGCTGACGTGGCAGCACAATACTAAAAATAACAATGGGGAGAAACTGGAAAAAAACATGAAGAAGAACATGATAGGAGCAAGAAAAAATCAGGCAGTGATCCACAAGACTGACTCAATACAACTGAGGACGATTTTCTTCTTGTTTCCACACAAGATTAAGGACGTGAGGAATTAATAAAAAAATAAGAAAAAGGAGTGAAACAACAACGAACATGTTTAACTGTCTCCTGACACTCGCCTGGGCTCTTTTATTTGTCGTATGACTTTGAATGTAAATTGGACAGAAGGAGCCTCCGGTAAYGAAACAAAAACCCGAACGGACATACGGATAACGAAACGAACTCCAGCAATTTCACCAAAAAACAAACGATTGGGGCGTGGATGCACCTGGCTGATTATACACTGTGAAAAGGTGAGTGGCAGGCTGGAAAAATACTGGGAAGCTGACTGAGGACAATATGAAACAAGAAACTAAACAGGAAATGAGAAAATAAAACACCCAGAGGAAAAAATCTAAATAAAAAAACAACAAACAAACATAAACTGGCCAAAAAACAAGAATCACGACACTTAACCCATTAGCTCTGATAACCCGAGCTAAAACCCAGATCAACCTTTAGAAGTCACTGTAAAGAKTTTAACCGTGCGTAACTTAATGTCAGCTGTTCTGGAAAGACCTCAGAGCACACGGCAAACTGAAGGCCCGCAGGCCAAATCTGGCCCTCGCAAACATATTTTCYGGCCCCAAAGGTAATCCTTTAGATGTGAAATAGTTTTATGGTTTCTCTTTTAGTTAATGTATTTAGTGCGTTTATGTCATGACAGCTGGCCAACTTTCAAGAAAATAAAGATTAAATTTTTCATTTATCAATGATTTTAGTGTGGAAAGAGCAACAGAGAACAAACTTTAATCATGTTTTTCTTATTTTTTTAAGTCAATTTGATTCTTAGTATGATTTTTTTAACCTGATTTGCTGAATTGTGATAAAATGTATCTCTAATAAATAAATGAAAACGTTGATAGAGAGTAAGGCATAAGAAATGAACGCTAATGATGTCTTTAATTTTAATATATTTTTATTTGTTACGTTATGTATGTTCTAAATGTTACATAGAACATAATTTCAAAATGGTCATTTGTGTTTCTGTAAGAATTATTTGTTCAATACATATTAACAGAAATTGGCCCTTTTCTTGGACCAAATTTTGAATTTTGGCCCTCTTGTGTAAATGAAATTGTCACCTCTGCCTTAGAGGCTTGTTTGTAGTCAAACAACATCATGAAGACCAAGGAACGCGCCAGACAGGTCATAGATAAAGCTGTTGAAAAGTTTAAAACCAAAGCTTWGAACGTCTTACGGAGACGCCGTTAAATCTGTCACCGTCCAACCAAGAACGTAAGTTTAGAGGAGCTGTAGAGATCCACAGCTCAGGAGGCATCAACCACACCTGAGCAAACTGAGCCAATTAAAATGAGGCACATCTGTGGGCAGCTTGATATAGCTCAAGTTGTTGATGAGTTTCCTGTGGTAATTTTAACATGTTTGAGTACCAAAACTAAGAGCTACCCCAGTTTCTAAAAATCGACATTGGAACCAACCACAGAAACACAATAATGAGTCAAACTCTGTTTTAAATAACAAGATTTCTTTGATGTTTCCACAGAAAATCTCATCCTTTTCCTAGAGCTCTTGTCACAACTGTGCATGAATTTATATTTGCGCACACAAGCCAATGACAGGTAATTCTGAAAATAGCACTTGTGTCATGAGATACATGTCCCTGAGGTCCAAACTCTATTAAAATGGCTGTTTAGAGGATTCAATTCAGATCATATTTGTGCCACCGCCGTTCTATTAACACTCAGGGACAACAACCAAACAAAAAAAGGGAAAAAAAAGTGAAATTTGAACAGTTTTCAACAGTTTTCTGTTTGATATATTTTATAAGCTTTGCCTTTTTATTTTCAAATGGAAAAGCTTTTTAAAAACACCTGCTTTCTTGGATCAAAATACCCAGAATCCATTGCAGGTCAAGGTCACCTATGTGTTCTCTGGCCCTCCGGTTCATGCTGTTCCACACAAGTCCAAATCACAATATTAAAGCATAAATACCTTCAAGGTTAAATGAAAAAGGACTGAACGTAGCAGAGCATATGGCGCTATTGGCTATTACKTTTTTTTTACATTTTGTAACCTGCTGTTTAAAAAAATCCTTGATGTACTTAAAGTAAATCCTGATTTAATGACTGCTCCGAAACGTAACTCGCTCCAAATTTCATTTTCATCTCGTGTCACAAAAGAAAAACCCAAATCCGTTGGGATAATCTCCACACCGGGATCAGATTGCACCGCGGAGTCTTTTGCCCTCTGGTGTCATTGAGGGCGTCGGAGTCAGGAGACRTAACAAAAACTGATTCCTACTAATTCTGAACACGCAGTTTTGTTTTTCTAAAGAAATCCCACAAACCAATTAAAAAAAAAAAACCACTGTATGAGTCTGTGCTTTTTACTCTATTCATCAAGTCTATAATAAAGTATTTCTGTGAAAAATCTTTAACTGGACGAACGTAAGATTTACCAAAAGGGATTTATTTCCCAGACAGGGACATAATTTGCAGAGCTTAACCCAGAATTACACATTTGACTGTTTTATTAATCCCACACTGGAGGACTGGACGGCAGCTCCGCACAGCAGCGTAGACTGAATCATTCATGTGAAATGGTCAGTTCGACTGTTGACAGCACCTCGCGCTCGAACACCCACTGACTCTCTGTGATTTTAAACGTAATGAGAGGGAGACATGAGCCAGAGCGTCGTGCGTACGTTCAGCAGCTGCTGGGACTTAGTGGGATGAAGGAGGATGATTTTTATTTCACAAATATTTACCTTGATGAGGAAAAAGAAAGCTGTACATTATTGCAGCAGCCATTTGGGTCTTTTTGTGGGAGTTTCTGTGGAAAGGTTATGAACAATTAACATCTTACCTGTAAGGATGTAATGGTACGRGTATTTGTACTGAGGTATTTTGAAGAAAAAAAATCCAAAAAATGAATGCGGCGTTGCTTCAAACGTATACATTAACAAAATGTTAACTAACTCTAATTCGTCGGACTGGTCATAAACTAAACTAAAGGGTGAGTCAAAAGTCCCAGGACACTCTTTTATTTCAGAAACAAAGGGGAAAATAAAAAATACCTAAGCAAGTAAAACTGTTAGGCTATGTCCAAAACATGGCCACCATCTTGAAAGCCGCCATATTGGATCAAAGTCTTTTTTTTTTTCCAATGGGAAGGTGGTCATAAAGAATTATCTCAGAAATCATTTGCTGCAGTGAGATGCGCAATATTTCTTGAGGTTCAGAACTTATCAATGCAGAAATTTCAAAATTTTGTTGTTCGTCACAACTCTGCGACAAAAGCTCTGTGTTTAGCATCATGTCAAACGGCTGTACGTCACAGGAAACAGTCTCAGTTGCTGTTGCAGATTTCTGTGTTGATAACTTTAGAACTACAAGATCCAATCCATTTCTGAGACAATTCTGGTGTTTGATATGCTACATAAGCCCCTTCCCGTTGGAAAACACTTGCCCCTGATCCAGTGTGGCAGCTTTCAAGATGGCGGCCATGTTTCGGACACAGCCTAAAACATAGGCCCCCTCACCCATTACTTGCTGGGGTATTCAGATATTTTATTTTCCCCTTTGTTTCTGAAATGAAAGGGTGTCCTGAGATTTTTGACTCACCTTGTATACACCCTGAAACTCTACAGCAACTAATATGTGAATTGTTCATAAACTTTCCACAGAACCCATCCTGAAGTGACCTAAATTCGGCCTTGAAGAAGATCTTTCCTTTCAGAGAACTGGGTTCAGACTTTGTTTAATGGAAAAAGTCTAAAACTAGATGCATGAAATGTTAAAATGGGTTGTCAGTTGAACTAACATGGGACTTCAAAGATGCCAAAACACTAAAATTACGGCAAGTTTTCGTATCAAACGAAATGTTCGACTCACCTTGGGCTGCACCTCGACCTCCACCACTTGGTTCTTGTGCATGCAGTTCTTGACGAAGCCCTCCACTTTACCGTTGAACTTCATGAAGATCACGTAGGTGGCGTAGGCGGAGAGCAGCGTGATGCTTTCCCAGACGGTGATAATGTTATCCAAGAAGAAGATGATGAGCATGATCAGATCCAGGATGTAGAAGGACACGTCACGGAAGAGGGGCCACCACGTCAGGTTCAGGATCTCCTTGGAGAAGATGGCGCACATCCCGATGACGAAGAGGATGTTGAAGACGGCCGAGCCCACAATGGTCCCGATGCCCACGTTGCTGTGTGAGATGAAGACGCCGATGATGGACGTGAAGAGCTCCGGGGCGGAGCCTCCCGCCGCCATGAACGTGGCTCCCGCCACATCGTCTGAAATGGAGAGTTTCTCTGTGATCACTGTCAGCGCCGGGACGAAGAACTCGTCGCACACGATGGCTAAAGCTATGAACATGTAGATCATGCCGAACATGTGGAGGACCACGGCTCCTTGGCGCCTCTGCTCCAGGCTAAAAAGATCCGGCGGGTACTCCCCCTGGGTCTCGTTGTCGTCTGCTGTGGATTTCATGGCTATGGGCGTGTCGGCAGACATATTTGGGTCCTTCTGGTGTTGGGTGAACAGTAGGGTCCTGTGGGGGGCCGACTGGTGAAGAGTCTCCTGGAGTAGCGCTGGCTCACTGGGACCATCTGAGCTTCGGGTCAAGGCACTGACGGAGACGACGCTTAAGGCCACCAGGCTGACGACCAACCCTAAGATTCTCGCTGGCCTTAGCTTTTTCCGCAGACGCCGCCGGCCCAGCTGCTTCCGGGCTGGACCCGGCACGGGTCGTGGCTCTGGAGGGTCCACACAGGGCTGGCCTGAACCCATGACCGTGTAGCTCTTGGTGTCCTCGCCCTCAGCGGGTAGTCGGAGTGGAGTGGAGGAGCTGGGCTCTATCGGAGACGACGCATGGCGTTCTCCTCGGTTTTTAAACAAGTCGGGAAAGTTTCAGGTGCTGTCCAGGATCCGGCTCGCCAACTGTTGTCGTCATATCAGCCTCCACTAGAAGAACCAAAAACTTTGTATTACTGGAATAAAAAATATTCAAGGAGTAGTAACCCTAACTGGTTTAAACACAGGTTTACTACAAGGCAAGGTAAATTTAAGACCTTTTAAGACCTTTTTAACGCTACTAGAAATTAGAGATGCATGTATATCAGCATTCATGTTGGTATCGGTCCGATACGTAAAACTGAGCCGATATTAACATCCGATATTGATTTCCCAATTTTTAGCTTTGTGTTTCTGTTTTGGGAGGGGAGATGGTTGGTTGAGCATCATCTGCTTGTTCATGATAGTGATATTGATGCTGTGCAGCCAGGAATAACTGAAGTAGGGAGCCTTGTCAGAGGTCTGGTTGTTTGTTTACTGTATCAAAAAAAAAAGACCAAAGTGTGTTTGTGCGTGTATGTATAATACCATTTGTGTGTTTGTGTAATATCGGTAAATATTGGTTATCGGCCAAAACAGCAATAATTATATCGGATATCGATATCGGCTGAAGTTTTCATATCAGGCATCCCTACTAGAAATGATATTTAAGACCAAAGCGACACTTTTACCCGAATGTTTATTTTACCCCAAAACAACTAGTTACAAGAGGCATTCTGTAAACTATTTAAAAAGATAAATAAATGTTACCAATTATTTTAATATTTGAGATAAATTACAATCATCATGGAAGAAAATTCAGGCTGAAAAACAAGCAACCAAATGAGAAATTTTCCACAAAATGAATAAAAACATTRTCAGTATCAGAATATTATCCCTTTATTGGTTGCTATATAAGGAATATGGGTAATAAATATTTCAAAATTGAGTTTTTATTTAAAATGTGTAGTTTGTTGAAATGTTGGCGATTTATCACCTGACCTGGGAACAAAGTAGTTTTGTTATGAGAGTTTCAGTTTGAAAACTTGTTTTTTGTTAATCTGGAGTAATCTGGAATTCCAGCCTTATACAGTGGTTTGCAAAAGTATTCATACCCCTTGAACTTTTCCATATTTTGTCACATTACAACCACAAACATAAATATATTTCACTGGAATTTAATGTGAAAGACCAACACAAAGTGGTATACAATTGTGAAGTGGAAGCAAAATTTTACATGAATCAAAACATTTTTTACAAATAAAAAACTGAAAAGTGCGACGTGCAAAAGTATTCAGCCCCCTTTTCCCTGAGTGCAACCAATTGCATTCAGAAGTTGCCTGATGACTGCTAATGACTCAAAAGGGTCCACCTGTGTGTAATCTAATCTCAGTACAAATACAGCTGCTCCGTGACGGCCTCAGATGTTGGTTAAGAGAATATTGGGGAGCAAACAGCATCATGAAGTCCAAAGAACACACCAGACAGGTTAGGAATATGGTTTTGGAGAAGTTTAAAGCAGGCTTAGATTATAAAAAGATTTCCCAAGCTTTGAACATCTCACGGAGCACTGTTCAATCCATCATCCGGAAATGGAAAGAGTATGGCACCACAGTAAACCTGCCAAGACAAGGCCGTCCACCTAAACTTACAGGCCGAACAAGGAGATCACTGATCAGAGAGGCAGCCAAGAGGCCCATGGTGACTCTGGATGAAATGCAGAGAGCCACAGCTCAGGTGGGGGAAACTGTCCACAGGACAACAATTAGTCGTGCACTACACAAATGTGGTCTTTATGGAAGAGTGGCAAGGAGAAATCCATTGTTAAAAGAAAACCATAAGAAGTCCCGTTTGCAGTTTGCCAGAAGCCATGTTGAGGACACAGCAAACATGTGGAAGAAGGTGCTTTGGTCAGACGAGACCAAAATTGAACTTTTTGGCCACAATGCAAAACGCTATGTGTGGCGGAGAAAGAACACTGCACATCACTCTGAAAACACCATCCCCACTGTCAAATATGGTGGTGGCAGCATCATGCTCTGGGGGTGCTTCTCTTCAGCAGGGACCGGGAAGTTGGTCAAAGTTGATGGGAAGATGGATGGAGCCAAATACAGGGCAATCTTGGAAGAAAACCTGTTGGAGTCAGCAAAAGATTTGAGACTGGGGMGGAGGTTCACCTTCCAGCAGGACAACGACCCTAAACATAAAGCCAAAGCTACAATGGAGTGGTTTAAAAAAAAGAATATTCATGTGTTAGAATGGCCCAGTCAAAGTCCAGACCTAAACCCAATTGAGAATTTGTGGCAAGATCTCAAAACTGCTGTTCACAAACGCTCTCCATCCAATCTGACTGAGCTTGAGCTGTTTTGCAAGGAGGAATGGGCAAGAATTGCAGTCACTAGATGTGCAAAGCTGGTGGAGACATACCCTAAAAGACTTGCAGCTGTAATTGCAGCAAAAGGTGGCTCCACAAAGTATTGACTCAGGGGGGCTGAATAATTTTGCACATCGCACTTTTCAGTTTTTTATTTGTAAAAAATGTTTTGATTCATGTAAAATTTTGCTTCCACTTCACAATTGTATACCACTTTGTGTTGGTCTTTCACATTAAATTCCAGTGAAATATATTTATGTTTGTGGTTGTAATGTGACAAAATATGGAAAAGTTCAAGGGGTATGAATACTTTTGCAAACCACTGTATATTAATAAGGGAAATCCTCAGTTTTCACAATTGCATTATATGAAAAGATTACCTTTAGCAGACAGAAAAAAGGACAAAGGAAAATAAAAATGTTTATATCAAAATGATTAATTCTGAAGACATGCTTTCTTGATCCTAAGGTAGATTAGGATGATTAAATGCTATTTTAGTTAACAGGATTAGTATTTGTTTTTATTTTATTATACATTTTTACAGATTTTGCACTGCAGCCTGAGCTCCAGTCGACTCATTTTGCTGAAACAGATCACAGATTTGCTTCAGATGGGCCGTTTAAATTCCCACAGTCAGCACCTTTGTGTTAAGGGATATATACATAACCCACATCTCAATATTCAGCAGGCGTGTAAAAGTACTGGTCTTTGTACGAATCAGAGTATGGACTGAGAACACTRAAGTACATGATGAATAGATTAGTCACAGGCAATCAGCACTCCCATCTAGAAATGGACGCATGTTTTGAACGGCACAGGTTCAGGTAAAAACCTGCCGTCTATGTTATCCTATAAAATCTGTTTTTAAAAAAAGAAATCACTTTTTGAWATCAGCATGATGACTTGCTGGTGTTAAATTAAAAAAGTAATCTCAACACTCATGATTAAATTAAAAAAAAATAACCATGATTTTAAAAAAATACATGAAAATATTAGTTTAAAATCTGTTAACTTCTGTCAGAGACCTTATTTAGATTTGTGCATTCAAATAAAAATATATTTCAATTATATTACATTAATATACCCATAAAACCATTATTTAGCAATAAGTGCTTTTATTCAGGCAGTGGTAGAAAAGCATAATGAAAACAATAACTGATGTTTTAAGATTTTAAAGCCGTATTTTGCTTTAGGTTAAAACCTGCCATAACGTCATTCCTGCATGAGTTACTATTGTGCAAAACAAATTAAAAAAATATGTGATTTGTTTAGAAACTACTGCGATGCTAGAAAGTTTAAAAAAAAGAGACACATTTTGTACC